AAAAAAAAAAAAAAAACCCACAGTAAGTAGAAGGGCTTTATTGGTAACAGAATTGCCCACCACCCAATTAAAATCACGTAACATCAGGCAGACACACCAGAGTTGTGAGTGCTGTGCTCTCAAACCCCTGTAAAGGAGAGAGTATGGCTGCCTGGAAATAATCCATGCACAAGACTCACTCTGAGGCCCAACCGCCCCAAATCCTGTGTGCACAGGCTCTATCAGAGGCAAAAGTGACTGTTCACAAACTCATCCAAAGGCTTGGGCAGTCCTGTGGGGACCACATGCTGGCTATGGGCAGATAGGGACGAACCACTTTTGCAATATCAGGCTTTCCCCAGCCTCACCCATGGGCCCCCTGGGTGTGGAGAGGATGGGGGAAGGGGCACCACACATTTGGACTCTGTGTCCCTAATAGATTCCCATAGTCCTACCTGCTGCTAATGCTGACAGATCACACAGAAACTGGGGTCCTAGAAGGACAGTGAGGGAACTCTGAGAATTCTGCAACCTTGGATCTCAGGGTCTGAGAAGGCTTTTTTCCAGAGCTCTAATTATGAGATCCTTTAAGGAGACCAAACCTTATTCTAGAGGTTCCCCAAAAGGTAGACACTCAAGCTGGGAACGGTAGCTCATCGCTGTAATGCTAGCACTCTGGGAGGCTGAGGTGGGCGGATTGCTTAAACTCACAAGTTCAAGACCAGCTTGAGCGAGAGCAAGACCCCATCTCTACTAAAAATAGAAAAATTAGTCAGGTGTTGTGGTGGGTACCTATAGTCTCAGCTACTCGGGAGGCTGAGGCCAAGAGTTTGAGATTGCTGTGAGCTATGAAGCCACAACATGCTAATCCATCCTCTCAAAAGCAATGGCTTACTGCTTGGTCTTCTGTTACATTATTATTATTATTATTATTATTATTTTTGAGACAGTCTCACTAAGTTGCCCACAGTAGAGTGCTGTAACATCACAGCTCACAGCAACCTCAAACTCTTGGGCCTAAATGATTTTCTTTCCTGCCGGCTATTTTTTTTGTTGCAGTTGTCATTGTTGTTTAGCAGGCCCAGGTCAGGTTCAAACCCTCTAGCTCCAGTGGATGTGGCTGGTGCCCTAACCACTGATCTACGGGCGCTGAGCCTGTTACCTTAATTTTTGTTTTAAATACAAAGTGTTAGGTGTCTGCAGGGTTCAGTATTCTTTCTGTCACCCTACACTCTCCTGGGAAGACCTAGCCCACTCCCCAGTCTGGATGCCACATAGCATCTGCAAAATGCTCTCTAGCATGGTGTGGTCTCCTTGGCTCCAGAATAAATTGCATCCATCCATAGTCTGGATGTCTCATCAGCAGCCAGATCAGCATCTCCAAGCTGGTCAGGATTTTTCCCCACGCCTGCTCCCTTCCTACAAATGCCACATGGAGCATGGTACTGCCAGCTGCCACCCAATCTTGGAGCATTCCCTCCCTTCTCCTTGGGTCTTCCCATCCTATAGTCACTATCTCTGAGTCTGCTCTTCCTTCTGTGCTTGTGTGTCTCTGGGTGTGCCCTGGCATCAGTGCAGCCCACTCTGGCTACCACTGCCCACTCATGTTCCAAAGATGTGAAATCTGATCTACTTACTCACAAACCCAAGATCCTTTGGCTGCCTCAAGCCATTCAGGGTAAGAGTCAAATTCTTGGGCTGGCCCTCAAGGGCCTTACAGGTTTACTGCCAGCCCAGCTCTCTCACTTCCTCTGCCTTCTCAGCCGTACACCCAAAGCTGCCCACTGCCCTCCTCCAAACAGCTGGCAGGGGGATACCAGGTCCTTGTTACTTCATGTATGTTGTCTTTTTGCCTGAAAGTCTCTTTCTCTCTCATGGCCTTGCCGCTTCCAATCACCCTTCAAATCCTCAGGCCTTCATCTGTCCCATCCAGCCAGATGCCACACCTCAGAACCCACAGCAGCCTCTGTCTACCTATATTAGTGCCTATTGTGTTTACTGTGTTTATTAGCTGGTCTCATCACCACACTGGAAGTTACTCAAGGGCAGAGACCATGCCTTACTCAATGTCCTAGCCACAAAGCATACCTCACAGTGCCTCCTTACACGAAGTGGGAATTCAATAAACACATGCTGAGCCCAGATACAGTGGCTCAGTGGCTCACGCCTGTAATACTAGCACTTTGGGAGGCCAAGGTGGGAAGACTGCTTGAGGCTAGGAATTTGAGATCAGCTTGAAAAAGAGCAAGACCCTGTTTCTACAAAAATTTAGAAAATAGAAAATTTAGCTGGGTATGATGGTGTACATCTATAGCCTCAGCTATTTGGGAAGCTGAGGCAGGAGGATTGCTTAACCCCAGGAGTCTGAGGTTGCTGTGAGCCGTGATGATGTCACTATACTCCAGCTTGGGCAAAAGAATGAGATCTTGTCTCAAACAAAACAAAACAAAACACCACAGATGCTAAAAGGATAGACAAAATAATTGAATAATGAATTCAAGTTGGCTCTCAGAAAAAACCTGAGGTTTTGTTTCTTTGATATTATCTCCAAGTGAAAGGCAATGTTTGAAACAGCCACTGAAATTGGTGCTTTGAGTTAAAAGAGACTTCTCCCATTTATAGAATTGTCATAATAAAAAAGGTATGCTCAAATCAGTAAAACATTGAACATTAACATGTTAAGTGCTTTTTTTACAACCTGCTCCATTTTCCTTCTGTAAGTTAAATTAAAAACACTTAAAGCAAAACACTTAAATATGTCTTCTGAAGTTGGCTCAATCTGTAGGGAATTAAGAGCAACACTGTGTACTCAAGGTCACTCAAACCTCCTGGCAGGTATGGTCAATAAGAGCTAACAAGGCTCACCTACAGGTGAACTTGCAGACCCAGGGTGTTAAAATATATTGTTATGAAAACCCTAGGTTATTTCTGTTTCCCCAAAAGGTCACCCTTAACCTAGCTGAGAGCCACTGCACTGGTTCAGAACCACAGTTCCATCCAGAGTACCTTGATCAATTTCAACCATCATTTACAGAAAACCTCTGACCTATCCCATGCCAGGCCATGGGGGAGCAAAGATGTCCACAATGTGGCTACAGCCATGGTCAAAGGGCAAGATAAGAGTGCTTCTAAATAGAGCACTTGCTACCCAGTAAATACTTCATGTAAAGGCTTTATCTGAGTGCTGAGGAGATTAGATGAGGATCAACCCAGAATGAAAGGAAATGCATGAGGGGGTCATGCTACTGGCTAGGAATGGTAACTGTAAAGTCTGAGAGATATTTTGGTCTTTTTTGTTTCTTTTTTTTTGAGACAGAGTCTTACTTTGTCGCCTTGGGTAGAGTGCTATGGTGTCATAGTTCACAGAAACCTCAAACTAGGGCTCAAGCGATCCTCTTGCCTCAGCCTCCCAAGTAGCTGGGGTTACAGGCACCCAGCACAATGCCTGGCTAGTTTTAGAGACTGGGTTTCTTTCTTTTTTTTTTTTT